CAGGCTGCCCGAGAACACAAAAAAGACGTTGCTTTTCAGTCTGACGGACGTCGGGTTGTCCGAACGGTTGCCCGTAGGTGGTTGTGCTTCCAGAGGGAGGTGCTGCTGGTACGTGGCGAGGTCAGGCCAGACGTCGGGCTCGGGAGTTGGTTTCTCGCCGGCAAAAATGGCGAGAGTTGCAGGCGAAAAATTTTGCAGGTTCAATTTCTCTCTTTTTTTTTTTTTTGTAGCAGCAGGATTAAATTTAAACGATGAAGAAGAATGAGGTTATCTCTGTGGGTTTAAGTACACGAAAGGGAAGGAGATCGTGCCCTCGTTGGAGAAAAATCTCACGAGAGAATCGGGCCTGAAATTTGAACGTGAAGATAAGTTGGACTTGGTCTGAAGATAGCGAAGAAGAGAACAGAAATCTGTTTGGGAAATTGCACGTGAACAATACATATGGGCCACCATCAATTTCTTATTGGGCTAAGGAGCAAAGAATAAAAAAAAACTGAAATTGGGCCCAAGACTTATTAAAATTGGGCTAGAGAAACCTTCAACTCAAAGAATTTGGGCCAAGATAAAGGTATAGAATTTAATAATCCGAGTGAATCGAAAATAAATATACACGATAACTAAGAATTTCCGCTCGATTCGATTCAAGGGTTCGATAAAAAAATAATTAACGGAATTACATATATATATATATATAATACACACAATAATATTTATAATAATAATAGGCATTTAAAACAATTAGACATTTAATCAGAAATAAATATTTACTAATAATAATAATAATAATATAAATAAGCAAAAATAAACTAATAAATAATCTCAAATAATTCAAATTCAAACGGGACGTTACAAGTGCGCTGCGTCGCATTGAATGGATCACAGTTGAGATGTGTTCTTCAGTTCTGACTATCATGAAGAACCTAGGTCTCGGTGACTCTACTAATTCTTAACCCTAATTGTGATACTTAGATATGTGGGATATTTGTTTGTTACTTTGATTTACCATGGGTGAGAGCCAAGTATTGGTTCAATATGCTCTGTATCTTGGGTAACAACATTATCTGCATGATATCTATTTATTGGAATTAGGGCACCGTGTCCTGGACATCCAGGTTGATGACGTCCCCTTAAGGAACTCATAAGGATTATCGTATAAACCTTGCAGGTGGATAATAAGGGTGAGTGGTACTACTTAAGGAATAAAAGATGATAAATAATTAAAGCAGTCAGAAGCTTTAATAATTAATGGACGTGCGATATCTTAAACACGGAGAATTATATTGAGTCTAATAGAAGCCCTGATTCATTTCGGGATAGGACGGGAGTGCAATATTAATTCTCTAGTGGAATGAATTAATATTTACAGGCCAAATTGTGTTCTGGGCTGAACATAAGAATTTGGGCCTGTAGGGAGCCCAAACCCTATACCTTCTAAGAGATCCCTAGTCTGGCCCAAGGACTCTATAAAAGGAGGGATAAGCACACGTTCTTAAACCCTAAGCGATCAGTTCACGTCTTCAGCCACCACACCAACATGGGAGAAGGAAGAAGAAAACGTGAGGGGTTCAGAGAAGAACAAAGGCAATCCGCTTCTTTCAACCGTTTGGAGGATCATCGTCCATCCGGCGTCCAAACGTGGTCGGGACACAGACTAGAAGATCGCTCAGATCGAATCGAAGCCTTGAAGAAAGGTATATCTCTGTTCGTCCTTTAGGAGCATGTTTAGGTTTATTCGAAACCATGTATGTACATGTTTGGTATCCGATATCGATCCGTGGGTAGGACCGCCTCGTCGGCGTGTTCCAGCATATTAAACACACTGATGAACAAAAATTATTATCTATTCAACTCATCAATTCCAAGACATGAAAAACAATGAGGGATGATCCCTATTTATAGATCCTAATTACCTCTAATCCTACTCCAACTAGATCACTAATTAAATCAATAAAATAATAAATCCTAAACATATTAGATCTTTTAAAGCACTAAGGAAAGTAAATACTACTAGAATCCTAATTAACTAGAAGGTCTTGGTCTCCAAGCTGCTTGCCTTGCACTCCAAGTAGCCGCCCAAACCCCTTTCGCCAATCCCGCACGCCGCCTTCATCCGCGTGCCGCCCGTGAGGCCTAGTCCTCGGCGGGCGCGGCTTCTTGTGCGCCTGTGTCGCATGTGTGCGCTGTCGCGCGCACCACCCATCCGTTGACTTCGGCCAGTGCGTCCTCGTCACTCGCGCGCAACGCCCCTTCGCCTAATCCTTATCGCCCTAGGACTCGTCTGATTGTTTTGCACTCGCGCGCCATCCCGCGCCCCGCGTTCCTTCTGGCTTCCTCATGCGCGTGTGCTGCCGCCATTCCTAGGCCTTCGAAGCCTAGGCTTCCGCCTGCGTGCTGCCCACTTGCGCGCCCCTCGCGCTCGGCCTGCTCTCCGCATGATGCCCGCGCGTCCTAGCCATCTCCCGTGGCCTGCTCGCATGCCGCGCACCCGTGTGCACCCAGCACTGCTCGCGTGCGCTTCACCTTATTGTGCGCATCATCGCCTGATGCGCGCCACTCGCCTATTAGCCGTTCGCCCGTGCAACCGACCGCTAGTCCTTGGCAATCGCCCGCACGAGTACTCCACCCATATTCCACCCCTCGTGCACCCAATCTCCTAGTTTCCATGCGCCATGCGCGTCTCTTCCTTGCATAAGCTTTGCACCAATCACCTAGCCTTCCCGGTACGAAGCACTCGGCATCTGCCCAATCTTCTTCCTCGTTTACAATCGGAGTGCGTCTCTTCTTAGCGCGCTTAGCCTTGCGCCTCCTATTGCGCGATCTCCTTCTCTTGCCACAGCCTCTTAGCCAGTAACGCCTTATGGATGGCCATACTTCCTCCACTTGCGGCTCTTCCAGCCCTCTCTCGAGCCATCCCTCGAGGTCACTCCAAGACTCGTCCTCTGACTCACTAGGGTTAATAACCACTTCTGTATCATTCCCCTCCTCTTCAAGACTTTCCTTGTCCTCAAGGATAATAATGTTCAGCTCTTCGACATCGTCCTCCTCCTCAATAGGCGAGTCGCCTTAATCCTCAGTTTGTAACTTGATGCGTTTCCCTGGTCGCCCAAATTCCATCTTTCCTCGCTTATAGTCGGTCGTGATGGGCCCAAGCATCTCGAGCCACTGCACTCCCAACACTACATCGGTAGCCTTAAGCGGTAAGGCGTAGAGGTCAATCTCCAGCTCTTGATCTTGTGCCATGATGGGAACTTTCTTGAACAACTGACTTCCTCGTAGTTCCTGTCCATTGGCCACTTTGACCCCAAACATCTTGACTTTCGTGGGTACCAACTTTAATCTCATGGCTATCTACTCGTCAATGAAATTCAAACTTGACCCACTATCAACAAGTACCTCCAACAACATATCCTTTATCTCAATGGTAAACCGGATCATCTTTGGACCTCGTTTCTTGCACTTGAACACATGCAGCAAGGTCTCCTCAAGTGGCTCACTATCATGATCTTCCTCAAACTCTAACAAAAATACTTAAGCCCGGTGTGAATCGTTCGTTGCATGTGAAACATAAGCCCTTCACTTCGCCTTTGGATTTCATCATCCGTCAGCCGCCGCATGTTGCTTGTTGTGCGCGTTCCTCCACCAAATGTCAGCCTGCTCTCGGCCCGTGGGGGCGCCTCGTCGGTTGCCGCGCTCGCGCGCCTAGGCTCCGTGCGTGCGTCGCTCGGTCTTGCCTTGCACACTGCCATAAGGTGATCCTCGTTAAGCGCGCTGACTCCATTGCGGCCCTAGTCGATCTCGGCCGGTCCAAGCGCACCTCTGCTGCCAATCAAAAGATCCAACCAGTGCACTCTCGGGCCAATCGCGTGCCCGACTAGCAATTCTCTCAAACTCCTTTTGATAGTCGCGTAGACTACAAGTTTGACGGATCCTAGATAAAGCCTCATCATAATCGAAATAATCACTAGACCCAAACCTGGTAATCAGCTCCTTCTCAAAATCTCTCCATCTGATTTCCTCGCCTTTGTTTTTGTAAACATGTGACACCCATTGCCACCATGTGTTGTCTTCACCATCTAAGTAGTAGGCAACAATCTTGACTCTCTCGGACTTGTGTACCTCATTGATCTCGAAAAATTTCATGGCACGACTCAACCATGCGTCTGGATTTGCTCCTTCGAACGTTGGCATAGTGATCCTCGGGCGTGTATGCACATTCTCCACTCGGTGTCGCCGATTGTCGTGATGTTGCCATTCGCCGTGGTGCCGGGTTGTGCGTGTCGCGCACGTCTCCCACGAGTGCTCGCCGTCGTCCTCGCGACTAGACGCCGAGCTACTCGACCTCGCCATGGTCGACCTTGATGCGCGGCTCCTCCGCATGTGCATTCTCTATGTCATTAGCCTGGGGAGATGTGAGGCCGGGCAACCGGCCAAACTGCCTCTTCGGGGCCATATGAACCGACCTTCTCACCCCGACCATTTCCGTCTTTTTTTGGCGCCTCCTATTACAGCGCATTCCCATTGACACTGTGATGCAGGCGAGAGGGTTCTTCTTCCCCTCCCGTTGCCATTGTTGTGCTGAGACTGGTACCTTTGAGATCGAGACTTTCACCCATCTTTTCCTTAAGAGTGAGACTGTGAGGAGAGTGTGGGAGCACTATGCCAGATATACTCATATACCCCTACCCACTATAGAAAGTTTTTTTGAGCTTCTGAGTTTTTTCTCTCACCGCACACACAATAGACACGTGGGCTTCCTTATTCCTTGTCTGATCCTATGGGCCACCTGGACAGAAAGGAATAATACGAAGCATAAGAATATTATATTTTCTTGTGCTCACATTATTTTGCAGGTTGACATACACCTCTCTCTTCTCATCGCCCTGGGTAGACTCACGATGAGAGATTGGACAGGGTGTACACTGCCCCATCGTTTGAGGCCACCACCTCCTTTACCTGTCCAACATCCACATCCCAGGACCGTTGTTTGGCTGAAACCCTAGGCCCTTTGGGTTAAGCTAAACACTGATGGTGCTTTCGACAGACATACCGGAGCTGCTGGAGGAGGGGGCCTGATTAGGGATCATGGTGGGGCACTCATCTCTGCCTTCCATGGGCCACTCCGGGCCTCCTCGAGTTATGATGCAGAGATTCAGGCGCTCCAGATTGGTCTTGAGATTGACGCCTCGATCTCCTCTCATGTCTGGATAGAGATGGATGTTGCGGTTGTCATCACACTTTTTTTTGACATCTGGCCACCAGGGCTCATGGCAGATCCAACATCCTCTTATGCGTATCAGAGGCACCCTCCGCTCGATCCATTACCAGGTCTCACACATATTCCGGGAGGGGAATCGGCCCGCTGATTTCCTTGCTAGCACGGGGGCATCTTTACCCTAGAGACGCACCCTTCTTCTTGAGGAGATTCCCCTCCGGCTTCAGACGCTCATTCGGATGGACCAGTTAGAGTACCCATCCTTCAGATTCGGTCGACCGCCACCACCTGCCCCTGACTAGATTTGACATTTTGGACTCCATGCCAGGTCACTTTGACCAGGACGATCTTTTATGAGGATTTGATTTTAGATCCACATCGGATATTTTTGTGATCCTTGTATTTTTTATTTTTTCTGCTTTTGATGTTGCTCTATATATTTTCGACTTGGATGTAGGCCATTGACTTTTTAGCCCTTCTGGGCCATTATATTCACAGGTCGGGGGTGTAGCCTCAACCCCCCATCCCAACCTGGGATGTTTATATATATATAAAAAAAAAATGATCCAGTAATCAAAATAAGCAATACTTCAGTAATGCAGTCTCAAGAGAAAGCAATAACAATTATTATTATGACCACACTCGCTTCCCTCAGCCGTGCCCGCAACACTAACCTGCATCCATGAAGAGCAGGTGGGGATGAGCACAAAAGGAAACAATAGTGCTCACCACTATTCGATAAATGTTAATTATAAGATAAAGCAATAATTGTAAGATAAGACAGGTATGGCCGCAACATGTATACAAATCAATCAACTATCCAGTCTCCTATCCCAGAGTTCTTACTCATGTGCACACCTAACCATAGACGAGTAAATGGCCTTACAACGAATGCCTCTCAATGTGGCCTTACATCGAATCCCATACTAGTAGGAGTAAATGTCGAATGCCCCTCAATGTGGCCTTACAACGACACTGTACCGAATGTCCCTCAATGTGGCCTTACAGATTCCATACCAAATGCCCCTCAATGTGGCCTTAAAACGATATGAGGAGACTGCCTATGCAAGACACAACCTCGTAGTCGGGGATAACCGTTCGACGGCCGATACAACTCACATCGAAGGCTACATGGTCTACATGAACACTTTGATCATACCAAAAAATAAACAGTAATAACAGTTAAGGCATAGAAATTTTTCAAATTAAACCCACCTGGTATCCAGAGAACGAAATCACAGAAAATCGAGGGAAAAAGGTAGGTCGAGTACACAGCTCGTCAAACACCTGCATTACACAAAATAGTCTTATGAAAGACTATCCGACACAAGAATAATTAACTACACTCATGCGATATAACCTAGCCACATAGTTCAATAACGACACAACACATAACTGCAGTTCAGAAACGAAAATGAACAACTCGCATAGTCTCAGTATTTCTAAGATAACATGAGCTATATATATATATATATATGCTATTCAGGTGATTCTAAAACCAATGAGGAGCTAACACATATATCCACAACTTTTATGTTGATCACTTAAGCCAAAAATAACTTTAAAACCTAGTTTAAGCATCAAACACTTAGGTCAAGAAATCGGTCAATGCAACTTATTATCAATTTACAGTAGTTCACTAAAACAACAATATCTCATGTTATATAATTTTAAATCATACAAACTTAAAGCCTACAGAAACTATACTTGGAATGCTACAAGTTTCAAGAAGAGTATTTTTACAGATAATCATGTTAAAGGTCTCATTTCAGAGCATACATTTCAATCATATACACAACCACTGTTTTAAAAATTCTGGGCATAACCCTAACTTTGAAAAATCATATAAAATCAACCAAAACTCTAATTGCATGATTTCAACTCTCAGAGAAAGCCTGTAACATGTTCTACAAGTTTCATGTTGATCATATTTTCACATAGCCACATTAAGATCGCCAAAAACAGCCAAACTTCATGATCCACAATTCTGCCCGGAATTACAAAAACTGCTTGTAGGTACAACTAAAAAATTCATAATTAAATCAATTCAACTCTAAATCACGAAATTCCGAAACTCACAGAAACCTAACTTAAAGAACTACAAAATTTATGAAGAACACTTGACCCGAAAACAGTTTTTAGGCCACAAAAAACTGAGCACAAATAGAGGCTATAACGTGAAGTTCCAATTCAATTTCAGCACCAAAACATATATTCATGTACATAACATTGAAATCACATAAACACGACATATATCGTAAACATATTCCTCAACTTCAAACAACATTTGTAAGGCCAAGGCCTGAGGTCAAACCTCTGAACTTAGTCAATTTCAACAACATAAACGCCTCCAAGGATCACAACAACAAGGCAAAATAAAAGGCTATTAACAACATGCTCATTTTCTCCTTTACTTCATTTCTATTTCTCAACCTATAAGCAACACACATGAGGCTTTAAAACTGAATTAGTACCTCTTTAAAAGCACAAATCAGCTTGCTCAATCATCTTAAACAGACACATCAACAAAGACATCTCAACATGGCCTAATTAATCGCAATAATCAAACATACATGCCTTCACATTCACTCAAAACTGAAATAAGCATGTATCTCGGCCCAAAACTAAAGCTAAAAGGGGCAGTCATCTACCTTTCTCGGCGAATAGAAAGGAAACAAAACAGAAAGGGAGGCTCGGTTAGCTCTCAACACTCCGTAAGGTCAGTTTACCGCAGCCCGGTGCAAATGCGCCTCAGCCATGACTCGTTTCAGCTCGGACAGCACCCGGGTAACTTTGTTTCAGCCCGAACCGCCCCGCCATGAAAGGCTTGGTTCTCAGCTGCGTGTTTGGCCTTGCTACAGTCGCACGAAGCTCGTCTCTGACGTAAGACGGGGGTTAGAGATCGAAAATCGTGGCTAGGCTTCAAAGGTCGGGGCTCGCTAAGGGTACAGCCCCGTCGCTGTCGGGTCCGCCGGAAGCTCAGCATGATTAAACGATGGTCACCGGACGATGGTTCGGGATAGCAGCGCGGGAACTACCTCACGGGAAGGTGATGATCGGCGAGGGTTAAAAAAAAAAGCCGAGGGCAGCAACCGGAAATGGCGGAACCTACCGGGGACGTCAAACAGAGGCCACCGGATTTCTGCTGGTGGCAGCCAGTGGAAAGGGGGCTCGCGAGGGCGGCGGATCGCGGTGGTGATGATGGTGCACGCGCGAGGAAAACAATGTCGGTGCATTGATCACGACGGGGATGGTTGAGAGAGGGAGGGATTTTCTTCTTTAACTTGTTTTATGACGAGCATGAGAGGTGAGCGAGAGAGATATTGCTGGGATTTCCTTCTGCACACGATTCAAGCGAGAAAGAGAGATTTGGAGATTTCTCCTTTCTTTTCTGCCGTTAATTGCGAGAGAGATTGTGGGAGAGATGAGTATGATGGAGGTGTCTGCAGGTCATCGTGAGAGAAGAGAGGGATTTACTTAGGGTTGACATAACACTTGCCAAACTTGGCCAACAATGAAAACACAAGAGTGAGAACCGGGTAGGACTTCGGGTGCGACGCGGGTTGCCAGTTCATTAATTAATGTAGACGAGGCTCAACATATTCGTACGATAATTAAAATAAAACGGGACATTAATATTTGTATAACACATATTTTATTTAATTATAATATTAGACAATTAGTCAAATAGAAATCCGAAGGTAAATCCAATAATCAACAGGTAAAATCCGAACTGCGCGATTAAACCGAAATTGTCGAATAACGAACATTATAAAATAAAACGATCGAGTACTCCAACCTTTTATTTAACCCGACATCGCGACTATTAAAATAAATATAATCTCATAAATAATATTGATAGATAGAATATTCCAAGAAATTCTTTAAATTGAACGGGGCGTTACAACCTATCCTCCTTAAAATATTTCCGTCCTCGGAAATACGAAAGAATACGCATTTAAAAAAAACGACAGACTCGAACGGGAATTTTCAATCATGAGGTTCGGTTATCTCCTCTAGAATCGATTCCACTCGCAAGAGTCCTATCGCCCTAAACTTGAAAAGCATACACTCACCTACAAGACTCAATCTGACGCGTCCTATGCTCATATGTTTACCTTATTGCACGGGAGGGTGATCAATCCTGTCGAGCTCAGGCGCACATCCTCTTGCAAGGGACCCAGTCCGGCTTGGTTTATACTCATGATTATAAACAATTAACTTCGTACCTAACAACACACAAGACCTCAACGTGTCATTTGGTGTATTGCCAGCGTACTCCGACTATCTCACCAACAAGGTGGGCACGTGATGCCAAGTTTCAGACTCGTGTACGAGTTATACTGATAAATTGCTCACGAATTTTATCATGGATCGTGTGTCTCCATCAGAGACTACGACACGGTACCATACACATACAACACGACACTATCATGCTCATACTCGAAACATAAACGACTCCACAAATCGAACGCAGCCCTTATGTGCAACCATAAGGATTGACCAATACCAATACGACATTCCCAATTTGCCCATTCGAGGAACTCTCAAATAAGGCATAGGGACTCATTGACTACTCTCCTTAATCAGAAATCATCGATTAAGAATTTACACTCATCTAGTGGGACTTGGAGCTCTCGATTCAAGGTTCGGACGAAAGGTGTTCAAAAGATAACCAAGTATTCCAGCATGAAATGGTTTCAACAGTTCAGGAAAAAAAAAACTTTGATGGTTAGCCGTTAACGCTTTCCTGGGGAGTTCGTGCGTACGGTGATGGCGGCTGCAGTTTACATGCGAGTCAATGGTCGGCCGCGCGCAAGCCTCTCGTCTCTCTGCATGGTCGTGCGTGCTCGGCCACCACTTCGCGTGGCTACACCCAGCCAGGGTCAGCTTTCGGTTCAAGGTTTCACAAGAAGATTTCAATCTCAGATCACAAAAAGAAATGGTTTTACTAATTAAAAATAATTTTGGGCCCAATATATATATATTTCAGTCGTTTCACAATTTCAAAGGTTCAAAAGATTCAAATATTGCAAGGGGCACGTTCGAGTTCCAAGTCCACTTCCTTCTCTAATCAAAACAAAACAATAACCCTTGAACAACCTACGCTATG